GACCATGGGCAGGGTCAGGTCACCTGCTCCGATGGATCCACTAGGACCTGGCACTAAACACAGAACAATCATCACGGGTCAAACAACTCATTTTACATCTGCAACATAGGCACAGTATAGAGTGTAGTTGAGTTGTAATAGAAGACAGAAGAACCTCAGTCAATCTGTAACCATCAGTGACTCCTGCTGCATTTCATGGCTTATTTACATTCTATAAAACAAATGTAATTGTCTTTGTGTCTACAGTAAGAATTGTGAGGACATTTGGGAACACTCTTGGGAGAGTCTCCATGTTGTTGCAAACAAGTCACACCCTCCACTCAGGGGAGGGGAGGGGGGTTGAGGAGTCAGGAACTTTTAAAATAATTAAGGCAACGGGGAGGTGTAAATTAGTTTGGAGGTTCCTGTCCTGTCCTGTTTGGTATTCTGTTGTTCAGGCTTCTCTTGTTAAGACGAACAATAACTCTGTATTAGATGAGCCTCAAGACCAACAAATCTGTTCATCTGCTCTCATTTCCTATTCCTTCCTAGACAAGCAATTCTACTACGACAGAGGTTCCACATACATATAGCATCAACTGTGAAAGACATTGGGAAGTAGTCATACGTACATTCCTGAGGGCACTCTATGTCTGTGCAGTAGGACTGTGATTGCCTCAACTGAAAGAGATCAGACAGAAACATCAGGGCATTTCCATACAGCATGATCTGCCACCTTCTAACAACACACACTGTTGTTTTCAGTCTATAGTGGTCGTCAAACTCTTCCAGGTATTTGGATGACACCCTTTCCTGAAGCATGCAGATAAGAAAAAATAAAAAATTCCAGTGGCCCAGCGCTTTGGGCTGACTGCGGCTTGCTCTGCAAATTCCACCTGTCCACAGTGAGATCACAAGTGAACTGACAAATCACAGATACAGACACACTGTGATCCTGAAAACATTACCTAAATTCTTTTAAAGAATTCCATCACATGTTTTAGTACGATACTCCAGATAATAAATAAGTGAAAAGTGAAGACCTCACAAAAAAAGTGACACGTCTCCCTGTAGCAGAACTGATAGGCTCAAGACAAACATTAAGCAGGAACCAGGATATGCCGGCGCTGCGTCACTCATCAGCTTTTCCAGCTCCCGTCTCTCAATGGAATTTAATTTGATCTGCTGGTTTCTATACTTTGTGGATAATTTTACTTTGTCACATCATACTTTAACTTTAAATTAAGTAATTTGACCTGCTGCTGCACCATAACTTTGGTACAAGATGCAAAGTAAAAACAAGTTTGGTTCATGACTTACCAGGTTAATGAGACGCCTCATAGCATACTCTTGGCTACAGACACACTCACACGGGTCAAAGCCGCCCTCAGCCATTTCTCGGGAGACGGTGTTCACCTTAAAACCAAGCAAATGTAGACTTTTTTTAAGTAGGACAAACTCAAACAAGAGAGAGAAACCTAATGCTGCCTGTTGTCAGTGCTCAGCGCTATTGTTGCATTATGGGAACACACAGATTACAGGGGAGGAGACTGTTAAGGTGGCAGTCTGTGTGGCTGCAGTGCTCATAGTGAAAACTGTTACAAATTATGTAAGATGTTAAACTAAACATTTATCCTTCAACTGATTAAGACTCTGCAATGTTTGTTTCATACTTGGTGTGCTGTAAAAAAATATTTAGTGTTTTATTTGTTTTTAATGTATTTGTTCCTATATTTATTATATCATGTTGTCAAAACAGTGCTAGTTATGAATTTGTTGAGTAAATTTGGTCGTCATTATAACAATATTCCTGTCTTTAAGTTAATTACTAAAATATGATCCATTGGAATTTATTTAATAAGATGATGACGCTAAACTCATCACATATGTATAGGTAATTTTAGGTTGATAAGATGATGACGCTAAACCCTTCACATATGTATAGGTAATTTTAGGTTGTTTTGCAACATTACTTTAAGGCACAAACAATATAATGAACAGGAATCTTATGAAATGGAATATTTACCCCAAAAGCACAGCAAACACAAAGAAGAAACGTGAGGTTTATAATCACTATGTCCAACTGAATATTTCTAAAACTAGTGACCATATGAACAAATCTAAATACCTATAACTTATCTTTCATTGTGATCATCTTCTAAATGAAAAATGAAAATGTCTTTCCAAGATTAATACTTCTACCCTCACCAGTGGAAGCACCTACAACTGAGGAAGATCCAAGAAATTCACATGCTTTTTAAAGTGCCTTAGTAGAGAGCAAGATTTTTAGTAGATTTTTTCAACATGCAGTATTTGCATAGAGTAATTTGCATACAGATACTGTAGTACTTCAGTTTTGTCATCACAGATATTATTTGTATCATGATCAAGACCCAGTTTTGATGCCGAATCTTAAAGCTTTTCTTTTTTTTTAATCTTGCCGTAATCGACTTTCTTTATTGTTCTTTTTACATCAGAACATCCCAACTTCCAGATGCAGTGAAGTACTTTAAGAGCATTATTATTCATTAAGCATTAATTTATTTATGCAATCTCAAAAGGATGTTTTACCAGCTGTTTTCGTGGGGATGTTGTCTGTTTTGCACCTGTGCTTGTTTTGTTCTGTACCATATAGGACCTTTTTTGAATCTTCAATAATGATTTTCACGTGGAAATGATTTGGCAACTTCATCGTCAACACTTCTTTTTCTTAAGTTCTGCGTAATTATTCTTTTGTTGGTACCATGAAACTATCACAGGTGACATCTGAAACCTAAAGGTCAGTCCTGATACGGCGAGAGTGTGTGAAAGGCAGACCTCATTTTAGCTACAATCTAAAGGATTTAGAGATAAACACATCTACAGTTTTTGCTGAGGCTTGGTAAAGAATTAAGGTACACGTTTTCCTTGGGTTAAATAAAATACCCGAGTATATTCAAGGTACACACGCATTTGGGCTCAATGACATCTTCAGCAGCTAAATCATACAAGGGGAGATATATTTTCCAAGAGTGGCGGCGGCCTGCATATTTCGACGCTGACGAACGAACCAGGACTTCCCTCTCAAACGGACTAACGCTGAGACAAAACACCAACTAACAGTTGGGTTAGGACTGACATATACACAATTTGACCAGATTTAAACCGTGCTAAAGCAAAGATTCACCACAGACGCCTCAGCGCGTCCACGTCTTTTGAACCAGCGTCCTATCACAGACAGATGTGACAGTCTCACAAATACCGACAGTAGTCACTTACTGGAGCTTGACTGTGTTCACAACGCGATGACTGAATTCTGCTGCACTGTCAGTATCCACCGCCACTCTGCAAACACGTCAACCCACCGCCTTTGTTTTGTTTTAGACACGTGACCATCCAGTTCGCCTTCACTCCAGAACATTAGATGTTATAACAGATTTGGTGCCCCTGCACACAACTGTCATCAGCTAGCGTGAGCGCGCACCGTATTATCCTTTCCTATAAATGCGCGTCCAGAAATCTTCGAATGTGGTTCTCGAAAGGGAGACAGAACTCAACATAACACGGAAAGCTTCATACGGTGGCACGTTTACATGTTTCCTATTGGTCCAAAAGTTTGATAAGCAGAACTTTGAGCCAATAAAAATGTAATAGGGTTATTACGTCACCCACATAAACAAACAGGTCTGTTGTTTTGTCAAAATTAGGTCGAAGTGGAATTCCTAACCTAAAATTGTGGAATTATTTTATAGTAAAACTATATACAGTACTACCTAAATGAAAGGTTGGTTTATTTCGTTCTTTACAATAACATTTTCATGTGTAGTTCTGGCACTTTTATTTTATATTATATTTGACTGTTAGTCATTTTATTTTTACCTATGTGACTTGAAAGTGAATTCCCATTAATGATTTACCCCTTTAAATTATTCTTTTTTGAGACAATTCTTCTCTGGATTTACTCACATGTACTCTCTGTTTTGTGGTTTCATATTGTTTATGCTGTAGCACTATGTTATGGCTTCTACTACTGGACAGTCTCACTTTGTACTTTCATGTATGTTTACATTTATGTGCCAATATGATCTAATATGTGAATATGACCAATCCCAACACTTAAGGGGATAATACAGTGGCTTCCTTTGATGGCTTTTTATATCCATCGTATTAGGAGATAAAGTTTACACCAGACAATTGAAAATGTAATAGAAAATGAAGTATATCTAACCAAGCTAACATTAAGTTAGTACAACCCTTTACTTTTGCAATTTATACAGTAAAGAATAAACATTGCCCCAAACCTGTAGTTCTGGTTGGGAAGGAAATGCACAAAACACAATTGCCGCTCAGGTGGAATGTGTCTTCCTGGTTCTATGAAATGTTAGCTGGAAATTGCAGGAGTTAAAATAGAATAATAAACCCTTTGTCACATTGTTAGGTAGAACAAGAAACAAACGTTGCTGACCATCTACAGTGCCTTACCAACTCTTACCAAAAAAAAAACCCCACCGATGTTAAATCCTGACCAATATTTGGTTAACAACTAACATACTGTATAGGGTACGGTTTTATAAATGTATGCAGTGTACGTGTATTAAAGGGTGGAACTAGGTTTGTGCCCCTGGAGCTGATGAATGAAAAGTTCTAGTTTTTGCTCAGCTG